CTCCTGCGAGCTTCAGTGTAAATATTGCTCAAAATCAAATCAATTTGAGCGCGATTTAAACCCGGATGATTGTAAGCACTCTAAGTTCGTCTGCCTTGGGAAAGCTAGCGTGTCTGCGACATAGTGATAACACTCGTTGCCTTCTCTAGTGCAGCTCAACCAGGTCTCGTCCCATTCGTCAGTATTTGTGATATCACAAATCCTGGAAAATATGCGTTGTAGTCCGAACGAGTCGTTCGTTGTAGTTTTTGAAAAGTGATTTATGTTAAATAAAATATCTCCTTTTGAATTGGACGTTGAGCTTTGTAACTTTGCAGATCTTTTTTATGCTCAAACAGCAACATTACAGACTAACTAAAGTTGAAAAAGTGAAAAAGCATAATAGGACCAAGCTAAATAATAACAATAATAATTAAAAACAATAATAAAAATTAATTAATTAATTTCTAATACTAATAAATAAATGTATAAATTATGAATTCATTTTTCAATTACTACAATGTAGTACTACAATAGCTTACTACAATAAAATATAAATAATAAAAAATAACTACAATAGCTAATATTTAGCTACATGTTCTCACTCACCGATGGAACAAGAATCAAATTCATGTTTACCTACTGAATTCCTATGTATTCCTCAATTCATTTTCCCTTCAACAGAGTTTTCCAGTTCCTGCTATTAAACTGAATCTAGCATGCAGTGTTACGTTTCAGTCAAATACAGCTTTGAGGTTCAACGGTTCAGTTTTGGTGTCATCAAACCACAGAATCTCATTAAACCAAATTGTTGCATTTCCTGTATGCCTCTGGCAAACTCTAGGTGACTCAACTTTCTTGCCACCCTTCCATATGAGTCACGTTTGTGAGTGTATGTGCTTTCACTGTCTCATGCAGTCTGTCATGGAGAACAAAAACAACAACAACAACAGTTACTGCTACTGCCCTACAACACTTCCACTATTCAGAGCACTACCTTTTGGAGGACAACCATTTATTTAATCTTTTATCTCACTTTTCATTGTGCTCAGAGTTGTTTTCCACAACATAAAACATTACTTATATCCTTGCCTAGACTTGCATTTTATATGATCTGCCTGAATGTTACATGGTCATAAGGGTTTAGTGTTTCCTTGAAACCGCACAAAGTGGGGATCAGGTCAAGTCAAGTTTATCGTTCCAGTCATTTGCAAGGTGTTGAGGTTTGGCTCACCATCATGGCCGTATTAGCCCCTGCTGGCAGATGCTGAAACTGCACAATCTGAAGTAGAGTGCGTTCAATGGATTGTACTGTTGTTTAACAACATATCGATTGTTCAGCTGATGAAATTTCTTTCTGGACAAAAAAAACTTTCAGTAGACAAAAACTCCATAAAACAGTTTTGAAATTGTGAGTTTTGAAAATGACATGATCTAGGACCTTATGAGCCATTGTACAGATTGTAAGCTTATTGTAAGTCTATCGTTTTCATTCGTGTTAAATTCAATATGGCATCTAACCTGATTAAAGGGATAGTTTACCCCAAAAAATTTTTAATGCTGACATCATTTGTGACCCTGGACCACAAAACCAGTCATAAGTGTCAATTAATATCTTTGTTTAAGCTCAGCAGAAAAAAAAATCATACAAGTTTGGAACAACTTGAGGGTGACTAAATGATTGCAGAATTTACATTTTTGGGTGAACTATACATGCAATTATTTTCTTAGTTTTGGTATTTTTGTACAGCGGTAATTAAATTATAATTAAATGTGAAAAAGGATAACACAAACGTCATATCGTAGAATAAGACCGGTTCCTTGCAAAACGAATGCTGCTGTCAAAATGTTGGAGCACATATTCAAGGAAAGCGAGAATTGTGATGTCTGGTTTGTGCCTTTTGACCTCTGTTCTAGAGTCAGACTACAGAGTCTGTTCTGTTAGACATCACTGCAGTTTTTTACAAGCCCAAACTGATAACATCTCCAGAACACTGACCATGAGATGGTGGCTGGAAAAGTGAATCTGAGGTGAAATGCATTGTAGTGGTATAGATTACTAGAAAAGAGCAAACAAAAGCCAAGACGAATGTCTCTCACGAACAGCGGTGCCTTTCAAAACCTATAAATAAACATAGGGACTGGTTTGATTGTGTTTTCCTTTGAAAAAAAGTTTCCCCAAAAATAACTCCCTATTTAATGCATTTTCCCTTACAAATTGTATCATCAGCATAACAATTTGCCATCCTTCTAGAACAATGTGCATTTATGTTAAAATTGTAACATAAATTATCAACTTTAGTTATTTGTATTTCTTTATTGCAAAACGCTAAAACTGGCACTGTTTTGGAGAGAAATGGGCTCTCATTGTCTGTTCTCTTTCTGACAGTTAGAAATAATGTATAGCTAGATCTGTCAGCATCCTGAACCCTGCTGGGATTTGAGAATGGCATGAAACAAGAATGAAACTTTCACTAAACTACAGGTAGCAAGACTGTGTCTCCGATCTACTGTGCCCTGCTGGTCAAACCTTCTCATAAGAAAAATCTTTTGAGTTTTCCACCAAAATGTTTCACAACTGTTTCAGCACTGACAATTATAAGATATATTTCTGGAGCACCAAATCATCATATTAGAATGATTTCTGAAGGATTGGAGTAATGGATGCTGAAAATTCAGCATTGCCATCACTGAAATAAATTACATTTAAAATATATTCAGATGATGTAATATATATTTTATAATTTATCTTAAATTATAATATTTCTGTCAGGACCACTATCGTCAAAATGATAGATACTTAGCATAAAGTTTGGTTTGGCGGTATGGTTCTGTTCTGGGCAAAAAACCTCCCTGCCCATCCATGCAGCCTGTCATGAATGAGCAGGGAGAGCAGCAATAATAACCCCCCCCAGGGTTAACAGAACAGAACAAGGCAGATATCATTAATGTACTCAATGATATTTAAGTGTAACACTTTATTCAAGATAAAGGAGTCTGATTAGCAAGGAATATCAGAAAGCTAAGTCCTGACTGTGGCAAAAGGTGGAGCTGGGGATGGAGGAGGGTAATTTGCTCCGAAGCAAGCTGAAAAGCTGCTGAATAATACTGAATACAGCTTATATAGGAATGCCGCAATAGGTGTCGTATTCCTATTGGTAGATGTGATCAGCTGATGCAAGCTTGACTCACGTGACCTGCCAGAACTAACGCTAAAGCTTAATTTCACAATATTACTGAAACTCTGAAGAACCTTCTACCTCTCAACACATTCGCACATACAGAACTCAAACTCTCCACAGCATTAAGCATGCACAGAGTGAGCACAGAGCAAATCAGAAGGGTAACAGCATTTTGTTTTCGGCTAATCCGAGTTGATTACGGCTTAATTTGAGCACGCCGCTGTTGTCAAAGCAACGTCTGCTTTTTTTTTTAAAAGCGAGGATCACAAAACACTTATACTTCCAATATGATGTGCAGAAATGTAATGCAGTATCTAGTTCAAAAAATGACATTTTTTATGTTCAGATTTCAAATGAAAACCAATTTGCCCCATCAAAGCTGTTAAACACCAGCTTTCATTGAGACGTGATGATGAAGTGTATGCATCTTACATTGCAGCATCTAAAAGGCACTTTCTAGAAATGCTGTTGCCTCGTTCTCTAATTACATGATATTAAACTGTCTATACAAGTTCCATATTCGACTATGTCAGCCTAC